GCTGGATGACAGGTAACAATCGCCCTTTTAACTTTCAGAAGATTTTTCAGAAGATAAAGAGATTTAGAGCTATCTCTTTAGGACAAGTAGTCTGCACTTTGATTTATACACTGACTGACATTGTAAAGGGCTTATCTTCTAATGGGGTGCCTGAGGAATTTGATCTTTGTGAATTTTGATGCACACCTTCCAGACTAATGTGCAAATTGCACTGGCTTATGCACTTCCTGAATGTCCCAATGCAGCTGGTAGCGCAAAATGCATTTTAAAATGCAAAATTCAAATTTTGAGAGAAATTACGTTAGAACATATGAATTTAAATGCAAATATTCGTGCAGATTAACAACAAAAAACAACAAATATTAATGTACACATGTGACAGAACGGGCTTATGGATAAACATATGTGAACAGGACACAGATTGTAAAGACACCAAATCACCCACCCTTGTGTTCAAAATGACTTCCGTGTGGCAAATTTAAACCAGTAAATCAATGATCATGCCAGATGATAACAATCTGGTTTAGTGAATATTTGGCGCACACAAGGCACTGCAAAAACCATTGCTAAAGCGGGCTTAGTTTTAGATAAATTGTCTTTGGATAAGTGCAGACAAGTGAAAAGTGCAGACAAGTCTTCATTTACAGAATGCCCATGCTAATTCTTGCCTCAACGTGGCTTTTCATCTCTTCCCTCGTTACATCATATAGTTTCTGTTCAGACCTACAGTGTCCTGTCAGGTATCTCTTTTGCCATCAGAAACCCTTGCTTCCTCTTCTGTAGGCCAATTTGTTTTCTTGAAACGACTGTTCAAAATACCCACTCAAAAGAATCTCGTTTCCTAGTGCTTCTCAGCCAGTGTCTCCTGCCAGATGTGTTAACGGGAGTTTAAAAAAAAGGTCTGAAAAATGTATTTCCCATTGTTATTGTTCATAGTCAGTTCTCACCCTACTAGTACTTGCCCTCTTTTGTATCACTGCTCAGTGTGCATATTGTTTTTTGTCTGACTTTGTTAAGGCCTTAAATGATCCCTATATTTGCAGCAAAGATTATAAAGGTATACCACTACTCATATAATAGCAACACCTGCAACAATACAAAGAAGGCCTACATCGTACCTTTGCGGTATGATTCTAGATGCTCTCAGTAGCTTCATGAGAATTCACTCGCCTCTCCCATTATACCGTAGTGCTGACATGCTTCATGGTATGTACGTGCTGCTTTCTTGCATAGACCTTGACTGTTTTGAAATGAGACAAGTTACAAATGAAAACCTGAAGGCAACCATTCAGGGCTGATGCCTCTTTTTATTCTCCTTCCATCTGCTTAGTTATTACAAGGCAACAGTACAAGTTGCTGATTTTGCCCCTTTAAAGACAGAGAAGATTGAAAGAAGCACCTGCTATGAATACATGGTATTTGAACTTCCAGTGCCGAATAATCCGCATCATAGAATAGCTCCCTTAGTCTGAATGTGTGGCTTACAGATCTAAGTTCACATGGCAACAATAGCAAAATCAGTTTATCACATTGTACACTTTCTCCTCCCAACAAAATAATGGGAGTTTTGGGTAACCAGGACCATCATTATAACTATGCACATTATTTGTAAACATGACCATTTGAAGCTCCCTGAAAGGGCTAATCCATTAGGCAACCTAATGCAACATTCCCCAACCTGCAGCCCTCCAGATGTTTCAGATTAATTGTTCTGTGAAAGAAGACATCAATCAGAAAAAAATACATTATTTCTTCAGTTTAATCTATGCTAGTGGAATTATACTGACAGATGTTTCAAATGTAAAGTTTTGGAAGAGAGATACGGTCCCTAAAAGGGTCGTTGCCCTATAAGAATGCTCTTCTTTAAAAATGTAAGACTTAGAATCATAGTATTTGTAGAGTTGGAATGGACCCGAGGCTCCCCTGCAATGCAGGAATATGCACATGGTCCATATGGTGAGCCACCACATTGGCGTTATCAGCACTATGCTCTAAATCAGGGGTCAGCAAACTTTTTCAGCAGGGGGCTGGTCCACTGTCCCTCAGACCTTGGGGGGGGGTGGACGGACTATATTTTGGGGGGGGGGGGAAATGAACAAATTCCTATGCCGCACAAATAAACCAGAGATGCAGTTTAAATAAAAGGACATATTCTACTCATGTAAAAACACGCTGATTTCCAGACCGTCTGCGGGCCGGATTTAGAAGGCAATTGGGCCGGATCCAGCCCCCGGGCCTTAATTTGCCTACCCATGCTCTAAATAACAGAGCTAACTGGCATTTCTTTGATAGTGCTATTTCTTTCAGGCACAGAAACGGTCAAATAATGAATAACATGGATTTTCACCATTACATCCTGCCCTGATAAATTCACTAATGGCACCATGTAAATAGCTGTCTGAAGTTTGAATTCGCCTTGCAGCATTTGAAATTGTTCTTGGATGAAAAGTTTATGAAATGGTGCACTTTACCTTGTATTTAAATGGGAAATAACTTGAGTGCCACCTATTTCGACAATTTTAGACCAGGAAGAAGAAGAAGAAGAAGAAGAAGAAGAAGAGTTTGGATTTGATATCCCGCCTTTCACTCCCCTTCAGGAGTCTCAAAGCGGCTAACATTCTCCTTTCCCCTCCTCCCCCACAACAAACACTCTGTGAGGTGAGTGGGGCTGAGAGACTTCAAAGAAGTGTGACTGGCCCAAGGTCGCCCAGCAGCTGCATGTGGAAGAGCGGAGACGCGAACCCGGTTCCCCAGATTACAAGACTACTGCTCTTAACCACTACACCACACTGGCTCAAATTTAAACGTTCATAATTACTAGGGAGTAACCCCCATTGAATAGACTTGGTGTGCTGCCCGTGGGGGCATGGCACCCGGCGCAGTGGAGGGGTGCACGGCGCATGTCCAGGGGGCGGCTGCAATGGTACCCCCCTCCCCGATGGTGCCGGGGGCGATCCACCCCCCCCCATTCCTCCGCAAGTGTTGGGAACTGGAAATATGAAAATGAAATGATGACCTGAGATCTGGGAGGAATCTTTCACAGCTATATGCCTACTCTGGTGCTTCATTCAGTACTAGCATAGATTTGAGGACTAAGGAGCAGCAACAGTCAGGCAAATATAGTTGTTGCCACAGTGCAAGATAAACGATATGGATGTTGCCAGGAAGCAAATTCTGATATTGCATAGTGATTGTGTTTTCTTAGGTATGTTCCTAAGAATATTACTGCATTAATTATAATATTATTATATTAATATTACTGCATTAATCTTTGCCAGGCAGTAGAATACCTGTGGTTCACATGCAAATGTCTTAACACGGTGTGAATAACACAGAAGTTCACGTGAACAAGTCTTACAAGTAGAAAGGAAAAGAGGATGTAAATCATAGGTATTTTGTGGAGATGTAGTTGTGAATTATTTTTTTCTGAGCTCTCTACTTCATTAGAACAAGAAGACAATCAATTTACATTCAAACCTTAGCTCTGAGAAGTTCACGTAATGAGTTTTAAATGCTAGGCAATAATTATATGCCTTAAGGAAAAGTATGTTAGGGAGGTGGAATGGTGGAAGAGACATTTCTAAAGACCTTTTCTAATTCTGCTCTTATGTTTTGGATGAACTTTTCATATGTATATGTTTTCCAGAGATTTAAAATGTCTCTCTAGATATTTAAGATCTGTGTAAATATCAATTACTAGTGAAGTGGGTAATTTGTTGTTTTACAATGAGCAGTTTTAGTTGAAACTAAGGAGGGGGGTAATCTTATTTTCTCAAAAGATTGTGCCTTTGGGCTTCTATTCAAATAGCATCAGCTAGAACAAATAAGCTGAGAGTGCATTTGCTGCTTATGGTCTAATCTCACAAAATGGGCCTAAATGGGTTTCTGTCAGCACTTTATCCACGCAGAAAAGTCTGTATTATATTTTTCTCATTCTTAAAAGATATATATATATATATATATATATATATATATATATTTAGTTGAGCTTCTCAGAGGTTTTAGTTGTGTTGAGTATAAGTTCTTCTAATTACCTGCTGAAAGTACTTGTTTTCCAATGGCAAAGTTGTTAAAACACCCGTACAAGACTAGAATGTTGTTGCTTATGTGGCATCGTGTGTTTGTAGCCTTTCTTTATAACTCCAAAGAATGCAGTTGGCTTCTTTGTGCCTCTAGTTACATTTATCCCTGCATAGAAACAGGCATAATAATATCTAAATTCCCTAAGATGTGACTCAGTCATTTATGGAATATTAATTGCACATCTGTAGAAATTGTTCTATTATTTTACGTTTTTAGAGTGCTTCTATTTCTTTTTTAAAAAACAACTCGTACTTTCCGTAGTTTGCTTTTATCTTGTTGTACGCCACTTTGACATTTTCAGGCAGTGATGAGGCTTTTAAAATAAACAAATAATCTCAATAGACTCCAGACAGAGATAATTCTGAGATCATGATACGAAATACACTTTCCCTTTGCGGCTGGCTGGCTGGGGGAATGAGTTTTTGGGTGAAAAGACATAGATATTGGATACTGGGAGATAAATAAATAATGGCCAGTTACCCAGTGTCTGGGTGGGAGGCAGTTGTGGCTTGTCATGGCAGAGCCTTGGCTCCAGAGAACAAAAGGTCTCTCCATCGTGCAGGCAGCTGTTGAGGATTTCCCCTGGCTGGCCACAAAGGAGGGTGGGATACTCCGCCGTCCCCTAGTTTTGCATCGGCCAGATGTCCCAGCTATATATATGCCTGCTGCGCCTGAGTTTGGAACCACAGTCGGCTGAAGAACAAAGAAGCAAATTTTCCAGAAGCTTGAGCAAAGAGGAGTGTCAAGGGACAACCAAGGAAATAAAGAAATAGTGCTTAACTCAAAAGTAGGCTACTAAAACGTTATTTTATGTGCCCCTCTTTATGACAGAGATGTGCTTCTCTGCACATTTTTGAAGTGGTTTGAGAAGGGTGACAACTAAAATCTATGCAGAGTGCAGTGCAACTTGGGGTAGCGCCATAGCTCAATGGTAGAGCAATCTGCTTTTTATGCAGAAGGTCCCAGTTTATCAATTCTTCATGGGAGAGAACTCTCTCTGAAGTGATGGAGAGAGTTGGATGGGCCAATGTTCTGACTCACTGTAAGTCAGCTTCTTATTTTCCTGTGTTCCTATGCGTGATCATGCCAGGATATTTTACAGCTTTGCTCCATTTCCCCTTATTTGATCTTCCAGACACAATTCAAAGTGTCAGCCATGACCTTTAAAGTCCTAAATGGCTTTGCTTAAGGACTCTCTCCCTTCACAGTCATTAAGATTAACCAAAAAAAATATATTAATCCTCCTGTTGCCAAGTAAATGTGTCTCGCACAGGACTTTGTCCAAGTTGTAGCTCTATAGATATTGGTTTAGTCTTCAGAGTTCATGCCAATTCTGGCTGGCAAAGAGTGTAATGATACCTTTAAGCTCCCTGTGTACACAGAGACTTCTAATCTCCCCAGTGTTGAAGTTTATAACCAGAAACACTGCTGAGGTTTATGACACTGATAGGTGGAGGTGTCATGCTAGGTAGTTTCCAGGGGTCTTGTTTGCAAAGCTCTGATCTCTGTTCCAGGCCGTTAGCAGCACTATGTCTCAAAATTACTGTTTTTCTGTCTCAGTTTCTGGAGAAAAGTGAAGGAAGAACCGCGTAGATAATTCCTGTAGGGATAATGGCAACAATATCTACTTTGTAAGGCCTTGGCCTTATGGACTGTTGGACAAAATTTGGACATGACAACAGTGGTCAATGAAAGGGCACTTAAAGAGTCAGTTTCCGCAAAATGAGTTTGTTTTCATTTGTACCTTGAATTGCCTAAACAAAGACAACAGGGCTGCTATATGTTCCCCACCCCTTAACAGTATCCACTTATTTTCCTTTGGGATTCCCAGTGTCATTTGACCTGGTTTTTTTTTTACCTTTGTTATCAGTAGCCTGTGAAAACAATATACCTGCAGTTAGTTGTTCCTCCTACGTAACCTAGAGATATTTTTATACAGGTTTGACCTCAATAATCTTGTAACTACAGGGAGATCATTAATAACTATAAATACTTCCCCTCAGCCCTTTCAAGATGATGTTCCATCAGTTTCACGCTTGCCTTGAAGACGTGAAATTGTACTTTAGGGGGAAAGTTCAAATGAAGATCAAGCATAGCGTTCCTGTGTGCACAAATGTTAATAAACACTATTATGGAGCATATTCACTTGGACAACTCTTAACGCAAAAGAAGTAGCTGAAAGAAGTACACTTTTAGTGGAACAAATTGTGCATTTTCTTTTCTGGTACTTCTTAGCATTTGCAACCTGCCCAAAACCTAGCGTGTGCCTATCTCAGACTTGGTTATAAGGTCCCTGGTGAGAATATTGGAAATAGGTTGTAGGCAGCAATTTGCTTCTTTGAATGAAGTACATTTAACATTCTGTATGAGATTAATATTAAGAATTAGCTATGAACTAGTGAGATGAAAAAATCTAATTGCCCATTTTTCAAATGCAATAGGCTAAATGCAGCTCAGTGTGATTGCCAATTATAAAGACCTCCTGAAGTTTCATTTTATTTTAACTTTGTTCTTCTCCTGTGAATGTGGTGCATTCCCAGAGCCACCTTCCTTCCAATCACACAGGATTCCATCCACCTCTGAGTTTTCTAAGCAATTTACATCTTACAAAATTGAATCACTCTTCCGAGTGATTGTGACTCACAGTTCCTAATTATACAAGGTCAGTTCTTCCCTTTAGATTGTCATTTATGATCATTCCTTGTGAAAGTGGATCCCCCTATAATAATTATATTTTTGTATCCTATTTCAAAATTAATCCCATCCCTTTCTGAAATGGATGAAGTGTGTGTGTGTGTGTGTGTGTGTGTGTGTGTGTGTTTGGGGGAGGGGGTGTTCAGGAGAGGAAGGGCTTAATTCCAAAGCGAAGGCATAGCAAAATGTGCATGCTTCCTGATCGCCAGATATCACCATGGAAGGTGTTTTTTGTTTGCTTGCAGACATGGGAGCCATGTTTCAGTGTTGCACATAATAAGCCTATTCATTTCAATCCAGGACACTTGAAAATGAAGTAGAAGCTGCACACACATTTGTGCTCTTCCGACACAAATGGTAATATGATGCCAGTTCCAAAGTGAGGATCACTTGCTAAGTGGGTAAGAAGGTAGAACTGTGGCTGGAATTTGGGCTGCAGTCCTGTCTGTACCCGCATACCAAGGAATAAGCCCATTATTTCAATAGAACTCATGCATAAATGTGTAGCTAGTCTGGAACTGCTTTATCTAACAGGCCAGCACACCTGTTGCAGTTGATAGCCCAGACACACCACCATTTGCCCTGATGGGACTCAAGGCAGAGTGGAGTTGAAAATGAGAATGGCTAATGTTGCGCATGTGATGTCAGGCCGTCACATCAGGCCCCCTCAATCTTCTTGAGAAGGTGGCATCTCTGCCTGTGAGTGCGGTGGGACTCAGAGAAGGGCCTCCCCTCCAAGATCCCAAAACACAGGCAGATTTATAGGAGGGAATATGGTCTTTCCCCTATGGCCCCTTGATGCAGGGGATTTCCGTAAGAAGGAAGATTCCTGACTAGAAAGTCATGGCTGCCTCTCTTGGAGTCGATATGAATAATCTACATAATCACTTCTTAAACTTCGTACTGTGTATCATTGCTTAGTGTTGCTTTCTGAGGAGTGGTTGGCTAGTACATTTTCTTGCCTTTCAGTTACCACATGAGATTCTGCTTGAAGTTTAAAATCCAGATCTTTCTGCACTAAGGTGCATGCATAGAGTGAAGTAAAGGGGGAGGCTATGCTTAAGTAGCAGCTGCAGCAGAATGCAGACAAGAGTTCAGTTTAAGTTCTGCATGTTCTGAAAATATTTTTGCTGTTTTTTTATTATCAGTCATTTCTACGAATTTTAGAATCAGTTGTATGTAAATCAGTAAAGTGCAGCTGGTTCCATGACAGACCTATATACTTCTTCAGAGACCCAATTACTTTAAACAGGGGAAAACAGTTAGATGGGATAAACTTAGGACAGGCATAGGCAAACTCGGCCTTCCAGATGTTTTGGGACTACAACTCCCATCATCCCTAGCTAACTGGACCAGTGGTCAGGGATGATGGGAATTGTAGTCCCAAAACATCTGGAGAGCCGAGTTTGCCTATGCCTGACTTAGGACAAGCATGCCCTGAAATACTTTCAGGTGCCAAGATTTTACATGTGGGGTTGTATTCAATTTAATATTGGATACATTAATTTCAATGGGTATACTCTGATTAAAACTAAGCTGAATACCACCCACTATTTCCCCTGATAATTGATGACATTGTGTAGTATCATCATCATTAAGTAATACTGATAGATACCACATTTGGATTCAGCCTGTATTGATTTCATGTGCTGGGTACTATGTACCTAATCTCAATCCAGTGTTGGAAAGCACGAGTACAATTCTTGCACACAGGTAATATTTAAAGTGAACAAAAGGCTTAGATTTATTACTCCCTAAATCACTGATAATTTCTTTATAATAATTAGAATTGCATCTTTCATTCTCCACTTCCCTTAAATATTTGTCATTATAAAGCATTTACTTTCATTCAAGATTAATCTCTTGAGCAAAAAAGTTTCATCAGCTCCTGCAGACGTATTAGTCATTAGAGCATATTACCTGGTTGATTTCACAGCTGTCTCCAGATTGTTTGCCAGTCACTGAATCAGCTTCTGTAGTAGAAAAAAAACCCTGTCCATTATCTGTAGATATGGCACGAAATGATCTGTTAAACATTGGCATTTCCCCATATTATGCTTATGTGTCTTTTTAAAGAAACATCAAATGGTATCAGTGGTAAACAGCTGTAAAGACCATTATATTGGCAAGTACCGCTAAACTGTGTTTTCTCGCAGAATACAGATTTTTTTATTGGTAGATACTCAGTGCACCCCCTTTTCAACATCATGTTATATAAGCTGTTGCCGAAAAGCTTATAGATGGCATTTCTTTAACTTTTTGCTTTAAGATAGCTTGCTACCCATGAAAGAAAACATTAAGAAGCTTTCCTGGGATTTCTTTTTTTTTAAATGCTTAGCTAAGCATGAAATATTTCTGACTTGTATGCTTAATCAACAATCAGAATCTGTAAGATCTGCTTGCAGCTAGCAAATTGATGTGTTCATAATATCAAGTAGGTAGCAGCATAATTTATTATGTTGCTGATATTTAGCTTCAGCACAATAATGTTTCCTTCTGGAGATGTAGGCCACAGGTGTCCTCCCAGATGTTGTTAGATATACAAATAATAGTAATAAAAACAAGCCACCGTCAGTTCACATTGCAGATACAGTGACCATCGGTACACAAATCTTAAATTAAACATAAGTTAATATAAGTCCTCCAGACGTCCAAATATAGGTATCCACACACAGTTGATGCCTGTATGAAACATGTTTGAATGTAGCTACGGTCCCCAGATCATTGTGTAATAGACGGTGGGTATTTATCCAGGCTCAAAGTATAAGAGACTTACACTTTAAGCCATATACCAATTTCTAGGTTTCTCCGCCCGCAAAAAAAAACAGGCGCCTGCCATTCTCCTTCCAGCAGGAACCTGAATTGTTTGTGTGTTCATAAAGGAGAGATAGAGGGAATAAAAATGAGAGTGCCCTGTTCAGATCCAGCTTTCTTCTAGCCTCTCACTCTCGTCTGGAGTTTGCTAGTTGCATTGAATTTCCTCCACCATTACCTGTGAGAAAGTACCATTCTCAGGGGAGGGAGGAGAATGAATTGGATGAGCTCTCCCTTCCCGCTTTCCCTCTGCAAAGTAGAATGGGCAATTTCACTGAAGAAAACCGTTTGTGTGAGTTAACTGTGATGTATCTGCTTCTAAGCCACCCCAAAGTTCTATAAATTCTATCTATCTCTCTCCATCGCCCTTTGGTCTGAGTCACCAGGATGCTGTCATTAGATGTTAGGAACAACATTCAGTACATTCAGATGACAGAAATAAGACTATTTCTAATCTGGTTGAAGGCTAATTTACAAGATTGCAG